AACATCCTTAGTTTCCTCTTTAAAGACAGGACTGAGCTCGGTGGGCTGGAGTCACAAAGCTGTAGTCATGAAGTCACGTTCCAGCATCTCGAGTAGGAGCCACTTAGGTAGTGAAGGGCTTTACATTATTGAAGGGCTCTCAGCAGAGGCTGGAGGAAAACCAGCTCCCAGGAAAGCTACGGGACAGGTCTGCTGCACTAAGTTAAAGATTGGCCTGGTCCAGCTCTTGAGTTCTTTCTATCTTGAGATTCTCAGACTATAGGTTTACTGATAAAGTGTCAGGCTTAAGAAAACAGAAACATCAATCAGAAAGGATATTTTCACCCCTATATTCATAGCAGCACAATTTACCATAGCTAAGATTTGGAAACAGTCTAAGTGCCCATCAGCAGATGAGTGGATTAGAAAACTGTGGTACATCTACACAATAGAATACAGCTCCAGTCTCTTTTTTTTTTAAATATAATTTATTGATTTTTCACAGAGAGAACGGGAGAGAGATAGAGAGTTAGAAACATCGATGAGAGAGATACATCGATCAGCTGCCTTCTGCACATCTCCTACTGGGGATGTGCCCGCAACCCAGGTACATGCCCTCGACCGGAATCGAACCTGGGACCCCTCAGTCCGCAGGCCGACGCTCTATCCACTGAGCCAAACCGGTTTCGGCAGCTCCAGTCTCTTATCCTAGAGCTTATGCAGCCTCATCTCAACCCGGCTGAGCTGGTCACAGGCCTAGTGTTCTTACGCAGGACAACCAGAACAGATCACTCTACCATTTTTAATGCACACCATTTTGACTTAATGGTCCCATTTCTGCCCCAAACCTCGCACTCTCTGGATTGATACCTCACTTGACCTTTTCACATCCCCCAGATACCCAAAATGTTTTATGGGCACCTCCATATTTATTGATAAGGAAAATCAAAGTACTTTTTATTGATGAGGAAAATCAAAATGCTTTGCTGAGAGAATAACACAGATGCCCTGTGCTCATAGGAAGGTGCCCTCCAGCTCTGGACCCTCCCATCAGAATCAGACCTCATTCCTGGCCTCTATTTTGGGAAGCTTTTCATCCCACAGGCCACAGAGGCAGCCAGTTCCCCGGAGAGAATGGCACTGTGAAGAACACAGAGGTCACACCGGATGCCGTGTGCTGCTAGTTGATTACACCCTTTTCCAAGTCCGTCCTTGGTACAGACGCAGTGAATGCCTGTGATTCTCGTTCCGGCAATTAGTTTTGATCTCTCTCAGGCTTAATGCTGTGTCCAGTTGTTCTGAAAGAGAAAAGAAATGCTCTCTGCCTCTGCACCATTTATTTTTATATCTGCATTCAATGAAGACTTATTGAAGCTGAGATCTCTCCCAGGCATTGTGAAGGATAAGAATGAATCATTCTCCACCTTCAAGAAGCTAATAGCATAGAAGAGAGAAAACGTGTACCCAGTATATGACATACAGTATACTCCCGTGTTTGAGGGAGAGAAAGGGCCCTTCCTTTATTCAACAGATAGATGCTGAGCATGGTTTAAGGCAGGGGGATACGGAAGTGAAGAAGTCAAAAAGGGTCTTTCCCTTCATGGGGAGAGATGATCATTAAACTAATAAAAAAAGTTAAATACACAAAGTTAATTTAAAAAGTGACCAATACAATTACTAGCAGAGGAATGGGATAGGGTGGGATGGAGGTCAGCTTAGAGCAGGCATTCATTCGGGTGGACCTGCCTGGAAGGTGAGCTTCGTCCTGAAAGACGAGTGGGTCCCAGCTGCACAGGCCTAGGAAAGGGGGGAAACAGGTGCCACAGCCAGGAGGTGGGCACAGGCGGGGGCTTTAGGAGAGAAGTTAAATTGGTGTTTTACAAACACAATGGCATCAGAAAAGGCACAGAGCTGGGAAAGCATGAACTGCATTCCCTTGGCAGCAAGCATGGATTTGAATCAAGGTACGGTGAAGCCTGCAGGCGGGGTGCGGCTAGACTATTTAGGGAGCCCCCGGGGCCACGCTGTCTTAGTGAGCAGGGGCTCAGTCTCTGGCTTCATAAGAATGTGCTTTAGGAAGATTTCTCTGGCCTTCACGGGAACTAGCTTTGCCTTTGACAAACAAATGTCCCTCTGTGCTTGTTGAAGCTTCCTATTTCCTGGTAAATATTCATCTTCATGCCTAGGTTTCTGGTAAGGGGCTGGGCTATAAAACAGTTTTAAGTGTGCTGGCAATACAATTTGTGGGGCCAGTGCAAAATGAAAATGCCGGCCCTTTGTTCAAAATGCAGTGCAAAAGCTTTTTCCTTTCCCCGGCCATCTCTGTCACAGCTAGTCATGGTGTTTTGTGTCTGTTACTTAATACGCAATAACTCCCTCAGGATGCTCATGGGGGCAAGTGCAGCTGGTCACAGGCACCAAATGCCCCCCATCCCCATCCCCTGCACCCTCTGGAACCCACACCCAGCGCCCTGCAGCAGGGGAAGGAAACAGTGGTCACTGAGTGGCATGCCCACACTCTGACCACAGAACAGAGACAGAAGTGGAACCACATACACGCCAAGGCTCCCCACCCCCGGCACATGCTCCATGGTTCTCCTATTTCACATACAACACACAACTCAAAGGTACAATCACTAAGAATTTCATGATGCGAATTGCATCCTTCTGCGTATGGGGCTTTGGTGCACGTGAAGCCCGCCATAGTTTGAGGCCTGATGAGAAGGTAACTGCATCTCAACATGGATTTTTTTTCCCCCCCTGGAATTTAAACTCAGTGAGCTACTGTCCATCAAAAACAAACATGCTACCCTGGTTCTGGGAGAACTGAGTGAAGGGTACATAGGACCTGTCTGTTTTGTTTCGTGTTTTTTTTTTTTTCAACTCCCTATGAATCTACAATTATTTGAAAATAAAGGTTATGTATGCAAAGCCCTCACACGTGCGCTATTTTGCTGAAGGCAATAGGAGAGAAAGAGGGATGAAACGAAGGGAGGAATCCAAGAGCAAGACTGAGGGGATGAAATTAAAGCCACTTGGTACTCAGCCGGACATCACTAGTTATCTTGCAACCTTAGCTGGAAATGCAGACCTTGTCCTTGAGCTGGGAAGGGATAAAAGGACAGTGGTCAGGCTCACATTTCCAAAGGTGAAGGCCCAACCAGCTTGTTTCTGACCACACTCCCCTTTCAGCCTGTTCAAATCCATCAAATGGTCGTTTACGGATGGCTCACTGTGTGAGGAATGCACCACACTGCCCTGTGCTCTCTGGGATTACAGTATGAGAGAATTGCATTTTATGCAAAGAATGTTTTCTCAAGAACTGATGGAATCCAAGAAGAGTCTTGACAGAGAACGGCAGGTACTTCTAGTTACCAGGTGAAGAAGTACTGCCTTGTGGTAATAGAGTGAAAAGAATTCTTTTGGCCCATATGTTTTGGAATTCTTGTTCATTTTTTATTTAATTTGAGAATATATCTGATTTTGCGCCTAATGTTTGCATAATACGATTGCAAATTTGCATAATTCAAATTGTCATAAAAGGACCTACACAGTTCCTAAAGGCATATTGTTGGAATTAAACTAACATATATAAAGCATCTAAGCAACCTTGGAAACGAACAGGAAGAAAATTAAAGGTAGTCATTCTTATTGTTGTTATATTCAATAATATTCCCAATAAATCACAGTCTCCAATCCCAAAGAATAGTATCTCTAGGCTATAAAGTTGGAACATTTTTTTTTATCAGTATGAGTAGAATAAAAGTAGAGCACATAGAGTTAAAACATTTCATAGGAAAATACCGTTTAGCATTGAGGTTCTAAGTGTTTTTCCTCTGAAGGGAAAATTAATACCCAGTTAATTCTTTTGTTTCTGTGCTAATGAGGAACAGAGTAACACATCAAACCATAGCATCCCAAAGCTTTCATCTAATCAGTGATTAAGATACATCTTCCATGGTGTTATTTTTCTTTGTCCTCACCATGGGGGAAGGATTAGAGATCAGCGAGGTCTCTGAATGAAAGGCCAAAGTGGTAGAAGCATTCTGCAAGGTCATTGTCTGACCAGATAGTGAGTAAGGTACCCCCTGAGCAGCAGAGCAGGGCCAGCGCACCAGCGTCCAGGGCACCCAGCACCATCCTTATGCAATCCGATGGCAGGCTTCCCTTTGGCTCTGGCCATTGTCATCATTGCCATCTGTCCTGCGTAGCATGTCCTCCAGAGCCAGTCTTTTATCTTGGTGGGACCTTGAAGATCAAAAGAGGCCCAAAGTCACCAAATAGCCTTCACACAGTCCCAGGGACAGGAAAATTTTATGAACACAACTAGGGGGACTTATCTCTGGAGAGGTCATATCATTGCTCTGAAGAAATACAATAAAACACTAGAAACACTAGAAAGTTCGGTATCCCTGAACTGATGCTGGGTTCCAGGACTCTGGACTCCTTAACAGTTGTCCACCCACCTGAATACTTCCTCTGTATCCAGCACTGTCTTAGCTACTATCTGGGAAAAACGCAGTGTCTCCTCAGGTGGAGCTTGTCTGTACCCTGGTCCATTTACCTACACAAAATAGTCCATCTAACAATAGACTGAGAGCACCTTTTCTGGATTTCATAGACTGGGACCCAGGCTTCAACCCTGCAAATCTGCAACCTGGACAATTCAATGGAGTTTTCTAAGCCTTAGAAAACTATAGGATGGGGCTAATAACAGCCCTGACCCCCCAAGGTGAAGGTAAACATGAGAGGCCTTTATGAAATAAATATGATTTCACAGAGACAGTCTCGTGTTGTGGTTAGGTGAACCTTGGTTCACATCCTGGCTTTCCCACCTATTAGCTGTGTTTCCTTGGTCAAATTACTTAACCTCATGTGCCCCCCTTCCCCACTTCCTTGTTTGTAGAATGCAAATAATGTAACCCTCATGGTGAGATCATTTTATAACCATGCCCAAATCAACAAGGCGTATTAAGACATCTTTCTGGACATGTAGAAACAGGACGAATCTGCTGCCGTTTTAATCTTCACTCAAGACTAAGGCTAAACGGCATTCAGAAATCACCTACACTGCATTTACCTGTATGCTGATGAAATTTCTTTTCCTTTTTTCAAAGGTCTGAGTCATTCCGTTTTCTTGAGGTTAGCCAGAAGAGGGTTTGCTAGAAACTTCCAGTAAACTCTATGGACATGACGCAGCAACTACTAAAAGAGGGTTAGGTTTTCTGACCCTTTCTATCACCTCCCTGGGGTTTCACTGTGGATCACAGGATGGGTTACCTCACTGGAGGCAGGTTCAGAAGAAAGGCTTCCCTTTATCATTTACTACAAATACTAAACCAGCGGGCGGCTATGCTTTTCAGATGCACAGAGAGATTTCTCACAGGAACATGACACATGTTAAATGTCCTCTCCCTCATTTGTACCTGTCATTTATCTTCTAAAAAGGGTATGCCCTGACCTCATAATCTCTTACTTAAGAACAAGAGACTATCGTTCCACTTTGCTAATTTCATTTGGTTCCAAAGAAAAATAAGAAAAGTTTTTATTATGTGGTGACTCTTGGGGGAGCACCTAGACCCATAAAGAGAGTATTTGATGGAGTATCTCCCACAGGAGATGATTAAAAGTGCACACCATAGTGCAGTGTGCATAAGAACGCAATCTCAATAACTATTAGGAAAAAAACCCACGTGAATCACTATATAATTCGGCACGCATTTATATGGCACAGGCGTGCTTTGTAGGAACTTCACTACTACAGTTAAGCTTTCCCTGGCTTCCCCCCATAATTCCAAATTAATATTTCTCATCTTGTGCGTCCATTTGTGCATCAGCTCTTTCTCCAAGCCTTAGAACCCGAAAGCCATGCCGGCCGTGGACTTTCACAATTGCAGACATTTTAATTTAAGTTAAATTAATTTAAACAGAAGAAGTTTAATATAAAGAACTATTACCCGATGATAGAAAAGTAATTATAAAAATAAAGAAAAGAGAACTCTGAAAGGTATCTTAAAGCAAAGAGGAAGAGCAACCTCAGAAGCACACGTTTGAAAGGAGAGGTTCAGACCTCATTGGAGAGGGTGGTTGCAGCCGCTGAACGATGGAGGATTTTGCTGGGTTGCCTGGGCCAGAGCTGGTCCACAGTCTCTGGACACCCACTGGGGGGAGAGCCAGGCTATTACTCCAGTAAGAGTGGGAGTGGTGATCCAAGGCTGCTGCACAGGTGTGCAATGAGTCAGGAGTGCGGAGGGCATTGGGTGCTACTGTAGGTGGGAGGTCTAGAGAGTATAGTGTCTGCATTGGCACAGACACAAAAACTACTGTCCACCATGTAGGTGGACCAAGGCCAGGCACACAGAGGCCGTTGGATGCTGGGCGCTGGGGTGCCACAGTGCATGCTGTTAGAACAGAGAACTGGGGAGGCCTCCCTCATAAGAACCTCATGTACTTTTGGGAGCTTCTTAAGCCATGGGGGCAGTATCCTACATGCCCAGTGGCACCAGACTGAGGAAAGGGTGTGCAGAGCAGAAACCTGAGATAGAGTGCAGGCATCACTCTTTGGGGCTCCCCACAATGCACCACTCCCCAAACTGAGAGCTGGGAAACCCTGGGGAAGCCATGTCCTGCTAGCACTTAGCATTGGAGGGCACCCACGGCCGGCCGAGGATGCGGAAAAATGCAGTACTCTCCAGGTCCCTTTGAGCTCCCCACAGGAGCCAGGAAGAACAGTCCTCCTGCCGTGTCTCTCCAGTGCTCCGTGCTGGCAAAGGGGAGACATTTAGAAGTCCCAGATCTCTTCTCACAAGTCAGGCAACAAGGTATAAATTAGGGGCAGAGAGGCAACACGTTGGCAGTGGCACCACGGGTAGTGCAGTGGGAGCAGACCTGTGTGGGCGGTACCAGATGGTTCCAATTATGTTGTCTAGACTTGACTGGCCTCGAGAAGCTCAGGCAGGAGGCTGCTGGAGCGATAAACGCATGAGATGCCAAGGCCTCAGAGCAAAGTGTGTCAGGAGGAATGAACTAGAAGGTGGAGTGAGATATTTCAAAGGAAAAACAAAATTCTTCCTCAGGTTAATCACCCTGTCATAGTCCATTCAGGTTGCTTAACAAAAATATCATAGACGTGGTGGCTTACATAACAAACACTTATTTCTCCCAGTTCTGGAGACTGGGAAGTCCAACATCAAGGCTCTGGCAGGTTTGGTGTCTGAGTCATAGACAGCTGTCTTTTCCATGGGTCTTCCCATGGGAGAAGGGGCACTAATCCATTCATGAGGGTTCGACCCTCAGCACATAATCACCTCTCAAAGGCCCTGCCTTCCAATACCATCACAGTGATGGTTAGGATTTCAATATAGGACTCTGGCGGGGTGGGAGGGGCAAAAACTTTAGTCTATAACACATCCCAAATTTTTAAAAGTAAAAATGTGAGGCATCTGCAAAGAGCTTAGAGACAGCCACTTTTCCTCTCCTTGGCAGTGCCGAGTAGGCCGTCATGTGTACAAACATCTGAATCCACTGAGAGCAAAACACTGCCCTCAGGAGAACCGGGATCAGACGAGCCCGCCAAAGGACCGTGAGGAAGAATGGGCACGTTGGGTTTGGCGCGTTCCCGTGGTCTAAGAACATGGCCAGAAAGGGGCTGAGGAATTGTCAGGACTGAGACCAGAACTCGGTAGGGCCTTAGGGGGCAGCACTTCTGGCAGGAGGCACAGACGCTCAGTAAGCACGGGTGGGAGGAAGGGAGGGCGGGAGGGTGGCGAGAGGGGAGAAATCTGTAACATTTAGAACGTTAATCCAGGAGGGGCGGGGTTTGGCAAAGGTCTGAGAGGCACCCTCACAGGGTGAGAGCATAGAGGAGGCGGAGACAGTGATAAGAGCCTGGTTCACAGCAGCGGGCAGCCTCACCTGTGGCCTGTGGGAGACCCTCCATCCACGTGTAACCAGAGGCAGGTCCTGGATCTCTGAGGAAGCGGGAGAGAGCGTTCGGTGAGCTCTGTCACCTGAAGGACAAGAATCCAGGAAGAGAGCCAACCACTCAGATCATCACAACTCCCTTCCAGGATGGGACAGGGAAGTCACCCAGCCTCCCTCCCCTCTGTCTGCTCCCTCAATCCAGATGGGGTAGTAGTGGGAGGAGGGCCGCAGTGGCCTAGGGCAGAAGCTTTTCTCACAGCTGCCCTGAGTCCTAAAGACAATGTAGTGATGCTTCATTTGCACTTCAACTGAAAGTGGACCCCAGACATAGGAAAGAACCTCCATTGAACAGCTATGTGTCAAACACATTACATAGATGAACTCATCTCATCCTCAAAGGAAGGTGCTGTTATCCCACCCCCACCCCGCCCCAGTTTTACAAATGATGACACAGATTTCAAGAGATTAAATCCTTCCCCTTGTTCATGCAACCTATTGTTTTTGGAGCAAACAAACAAACAAAAAAGACAGATAAAGAAATTTAGTTTAAATAGAATTATCCTGTCACCCATATTAAAGCTTCTTGGTAAACTAAATTTTCTGGGTTCTTACTCTTCACTTTCTTCAAATTTCTACATAATAATGAAACCTAACATATGAAGGGCAAGACAGTGTTCTTACTAGCATATGTGTGTGTGCGTGTGTGTGTGTGTGTGTGTGTGTACAATTTTACAGGTAAAGGAAGTGGGGCACAGAGAGGTTAAGTAACTTACCCAAGGTCACACAAGTGACCTCATAAGTGGTGCGTGAGGATTCCAACCCAGCCCGTCTGGGCGTAGAATTCATCCACAAACCAGCAGCACAGTGAGTGCAGAGGGAACCCTTGTGGGACCAACATTCAATGGCAGGGCTTAAGATGTAGAATGTCTTGATGTTATAGGTCACCTGGTAACTTTTTTAAAACTTGGAACTAGGTCATAAGTATGACTCAGACTTACTACTTCACAGTCTTTCTGTTGTGATGAGAGTATCGCGTGGTAGTTGTTGTACTCTGGGGGACAGTTTAGGAGCCAAGGAAAATGGTGACAAATGAGACATGTGATTGAGGCGGAAGTGTCTCTTCAAAGCTGCAGCGTCTGGGCAGCCCCGACCTGCGTCCTTAGCAACCCTCCACTGGGCTGCCTCTCCAGCAGGAAGCCTGTCAGTGCCCGCGAGCTCCTTCAGCCTCGGAGATGCCTGTGCTTCCTGGAGCCCAGTCTCCCCGGAGCCGGGAGACAGCGTGGTGCTGCCAGCACGCATTTGTCACTCCTCAAAACTGGCCCACCACTCCAGGCAAACGGAAAAGAAAAGCACCACATCTGAGTTTGCAGCCAGTTACCTCTGCTGATGCCATGTAGCCAGGCAGCGTTAGAAACCCAGGGATTATTGAAAGAGCAGTAGTACATTCACACTGGAGAGGTGCTGCGATTGGGGGGGTAATGGAATTGCTATCGTCCCAATTTCGTGACGAAATCAAAAGGTGTGATGTTAAATCCACGAAGCTCTGGCGGGGAACATCCGCCACCTACAAACATGCATCTGACTTGCATGCTCGCTTTACTTTCTGTTCTCTATTCTTCATCCTTTCTTGCCTACCTGGAGGGAAGAAAAGAAAGCATCTATAATAATAAAAGCGTAATATGCTAATTAGACTGAACAGACGCACGACCTTCCGGATGAAGCCGGAGCTGCAAGGGCCGAGCCCCTTGCACGTATTTCATGCATTGGGCCTCTAGGCCAGGGGTGGGCAAACTTTTTGACTCGAGGGCCACAATGGGTTCTTAAACTGGACCGGAGGGACGGAACAAAAGCATGGATGGAGTGTTTGTATGAACTAACATAAATTCAAAGTAAACATCATTACATAAAAGGGTACGGTCTTTTTTTTTTTAGTTTTATTCATTTCAAACGGGCCGGATCCGGCCCGAGGGCCGTAGATTGCCCACGGCTGCTCTAGACCAATATAAACAATCACATGCCTACATAGATGCATGTAATAGTCATGAGTGACGTAGCGAGGGGCTCGCAGTGCTCAGAGTCAAGACTTCTATTTACTCACAGGACGAGGGTAGCAGGGAGAAAGCACTCTTGAATCTTTCCCTCCTTTTTGCCTCTGCAGGCTTTGCTGCTCTCCCGATCCTATCAGCCAAGACATGGACGGAGGCCATCCTCTCATAGCTATCAAGGAGTGGTGGTTGTCCATCAAGAGATTAAATCCTTCCCCTTGTTCATGCAACCCAGTGGGGAAGGTGCCTCCAAACTGCTGCCTAGCGACAAAGGGCCCCCGGCATCATTAATACGGCTCCAAGAGACACTCATCCTTCAATTTTGCTGCAACCTGCCAGCGTTAAATATAGCGCTCTAGCTGTATATGTCATGCGCCCTTTCCTGTGGTACGTTGCTTTAGGACATGCTTTCTTGTCCTCTAAATTTATCTTGGCTCTGGCTTCCCCTCTGAGATTTAGCTATTTTTCATGGCTAAAGATGCCTTTTTTCCCTCCTCCTTAGTTTGTGGATTTTCATGACTGTGCCTTTAGATAAAATGAAATGTGTTGGTATAGCTTCCCAGCCTTTTCTCTTTTCTTAGACAATGAGGCCTAACAGTAACAATCAAAAAAAATAAAAATAAAAAAAGTAAATCTAGCATGTTCAAACCAAAACTTTGACCAAAGCAAATTAACTCAAAAACATCTGTAGGGAATTTTATTTTACTAGAGAGCCGAAGTTGCAGACAGACACAAATGTCCTTGTCTGTATTTTTCTTTATAGGAAATAATTTGAAGTAGAAGCGGATTCACTCTGGGCTGGGTCTTTGTCATTACTATTGTTTACTGTTTCCCTTTGCTGAGCAGTGTGACCTTTGGGATTACGGCTGTAGAAATCGTATTTCCATGATAGACAATGTCAACATTATCCTGGGCCATCTGGCACAAGCAGCCTAAGTTCCTTTATTCTCCGTGGAGAGCTTCTGGACTTCTCTGAGCAAATCCCTTCACCATCCCTGCTATTTTAATCAATCCTGCACACATGAAGCAGCTGGATCTCTGATTTAGCTCAGGAATTTTTAAAAAATGGAGCTAGAGTCTTTTCGCATCTTGGAAAGGAGAATATGAAGTTCTGGGAAACCCGTACTGACAAAAGTGAGACTTTTGGCAGAGCCAGAGGGGTGGAATCAAACAGACCCCATTTAAGAATTATTGCCAAACCGAAGGACTGAGTTTTGCTTAAGGGAAGAGTTGAAAACCCCAAGGGCACAGTTGTAACTTAGAAAAAGGATCCTAGTTGTTCTTTATCTCTCGAAAACATCCGACTGGGGACCATGGAGCCACAGTCAAAGCAGCATCAGGATGAGGCTGAATAGAAAGGCTTTTCCCAACTCTGTGTCTCCACAAGATCGGAGCCTCAAGGTGCTTGGGCCGGTGAAACCCAAGGAAAGAGTCAGGTGAGTGAGCACAGCTGCAGGAGCACCACCCCTCCCACACTGGCTGTGCCTGTGGCTTTTACTGCAGCTGTTTCCAGGCCACAGCAGGCTTGTCATCGTGGGCCAAGAGGCAGCAGGTGAGATCAGTGACAATGGAATCTGGGCCAGAATAGAGACCATTTAAGACAAATAGCCTCATTTTCCATCTAGTTTGTTCACCAATCATGCATTCTCCCCCCACAGCTACAACTTGAGCAGAGGGGAAAGAGCCTCAAGCGTGTGTCATATGCCATATGAGTGTACTCTTTGGCATGTTCCAGCAGCAAAGGATGAGGGAGAACATGGTAGCTCCAAAGTGACCTCAGAGGGCTGACTCTGAGACACCAACATCTGATATCCTCTTATCTGCATGATGGGCCCAAACAAAAGCAGACCCAGCGAATATTTGCTTGTAGCAAGTGAGCAGATGAAAGTGTCATCTCCGGGATTTATTTATGCTTCCCTTCTCTCACTCATTTTTCTTTATTTGTTTAAGATGCTCTTGGGGAAGTTATACAAATAAGTAACCATGACTTATAGTCATCTAAAGTCTTTTTCCTTATTAGAGCTAATGAAAATATATTCTTCTGATTTCTAACGTCATAGTACTGGCCATATACAATTATTATAAGATATTATAAGATGTGCTAACTTCCTAATATTTACTAAAACTGAACAAAAAATTCATATTTCTGTCTCTATTAAAGAAAACCTGATGACTTCAGGAAATACTCTGTCTTTAAATTTGACTACCCAGTCTTCATGCGTTGACTCTAAGAGTCAGCAGTCTCCCAGATTGCAGTGGCCCAAGAAGGCAGACATGTGAGAGAAGTAGTGTGGAAGACAGAGCCAGAAGCCCCCCTTTCTTTCTCTATAAAATGGTGTAACATTAGCTTTCTACTTTATAGAATAGTTGCAAAGAATAAAAAGATAGAGTCCATGAAAATTTTTATAAATTGAAGTACCATACAACTATGATTTATTACCTTTAGAGGAAGAATATCTTTGTATCTTTTCACTAATGAGTTGCAAGACATATATGCATGTGTGTACATGCATGCACACATACATATGTATTTACATACACGTGTAGGTAGATACACACATACACATACATGTGTAGACAGGCACACAAACATGATTATGCATTTTTGGTGGGGTGTTCATAGTTTTCATCAGCATCTCAAAGGAACTCATTTTCTAATATTGGTTAAAAACCTCTGCACCTGCCAAAACCGGTTTGGCTCAGTGGATAGAGCGTCGGCCTGCGGACTGACGGGTCCCAGGTTCGATTCCGGTCAAGGGCATGTACCTTGGTTGAGGGCACATCCCCAGTAGCAGGTGTGCAGGAGACAGCTGGTCGATGTTTCTCTCTCATCGATGTTTCTAACTCTCTATCTCTCTCCCTTCCTCTCTGTAAAAAAAAAAAAAAAATTAATAAAAATATATTAAAAAAAAGAACCTCTGCACCAAATGGGATTCCACATTATCAGTCATTAGAAATAAGCAAATTAAAACCACTAGGAGATACCACTATATACCCAGTAGGACAGCTGTTATCAAAAAGACAAGCAATACAGAGTATTGGTGAGAGTGTGGAGAATCTGAGCCACTCATACACTGCTGGTGGGAATGCAAAATGGTACAGTCACTGTGGAAAACAGCTTGCCAGTTTCCTATAAAGTGAAAGCTGAATTTACCAAGTGGCCCAGCAATTTCACTCTTCGTTATCTACCAAAGAGAATGAAAGCATATGTCTACACAAAGAGCTGTGCACAAATGTTCTTAGCAGCATTATTCAAATGGACAAAAACTGCAAAGAAAAGTCCCCATCAAATTGTGAAGGGATAAAGTAAATGAGGCATAAACATATAATAGAACACGGAGTGAGGCAAAAGTAGGTTTACAGTTGTGAGTGCATGAAAAAAAGAGTTTATTCTTGTATTATTATTTATTATTGTATTCTTTTCCAAACAAACAACTGTAAACCTACTTTTGCCATGCCTTGTATAGCTCAGCAAAAGATGTGAAAAACTATTAAGTTCTGCAACATGAATGAGGCTTAAAAACATTACACTAAGGGAAAGCAGCCAGTCACAAAAGACGCCATAATATATGTTACTTATATGGAATGTCCAGAAATGGCACATTTATAGGGACAAAAAAGCAGATCTGTGATTGCCTTTGATTGGAGGGGCAAGAGTAGCAATTGAATGCATATTGGCTCAAAGAAAATTTAGCGGTTGATGGAAAAGTTCTAAAACTACATTGTGGCAATGGTTTCAGGGCTCCATAAATTTATTTAAAAAATCACTGAATGGTTCATGTACATGAATGTCTATGATATGTAAAATATACCTCAATATATTTTATAGCTGTTTTTAGAAAAAGGGTAAATAATGGAGAGGATATTTTGAAATATAACTAAAATAAACATAAATAACAAAATATCTGTAAAATGCTTTAGTCTTGCAAACATATCATGGTATTCTAAACTATTGTCATTTGAAGAAAAGTGTTCTTTATTCTCGCTATACTGCAGTTTTCTCATCTGTAAAATAGAGATAATAAAAGTAACTACCTCCTGAGCATTTGTGAAGTTAAATCAGTTAATGTATGTGAAGTATTTAGAAGCGGTCCTGACACACGAGCATGAAATACATGTTAATTAGACACTAACTAGAGATCTCATGTCGCTACCAATCACATACACTTTATAATATCAATTTCTTTTGATGTTCTTTTTTCTGGTAGAAAAAAATGGGCATTAAAAATTAACAATACTTTCCTGAGATGGCATGGGAAAAATGCATATTAATAGATACTGTTCAAAAGGGATATGGGAAAATATCCTCAGGAAATTAGGAGTGCCATGGAGTATATCATGGAAAACATAATCTACAAAAACTCATTTTGGTTTTCTTTTTATTCCAGAACAAGCAATCAATTCAAAGACTAACCCGAGTCCTTTCCTCTCTCATTTTCTCCCTTACCTGTTCGTTGCAGCGCCCATGCTGACCCTCTTCCTTATCAATTGCAGGAAGAAAGGAAATGCCCCCCTCTAGAGGTAATAAAATTAGAGGGTGCAGAAGTCGACATTGACAGCAGTTTGGGAAAACCATTTGTGTTTAACTGTGTGCCGCAGTCTGGAAATAGAACTTTTTGCCTCTGTGCAACCTCAAACCAAGAAATGAAAAGGTAACTCGCTCATCTTTTATCTTACCAGATTCATTGGGGGGGGGGGGGTGCTTCTTCAACAGCAGGCTTACAGATGATTGGGATTGGAACAGCAAATTCATAGCAGGAGCCAAGAAAGTATCTGTTCCTTAGGTATGAGAAGTCTGGTCCTTCACTATCCCCCCAGGTTTTTCTAACAGAATGTCTAACATAAGCATCTTCTCCTAACTTACTTTGGATCTCCACATTTTCCTAAAAAACTTAATAATGCCACAGTTCATATCTAGCTTCCCCAAAAGGTACCGAATTTATTTATTTTAAGCTAACTCGATGGGTAATCCCAGGCATAAAAGTAATGTGGTATGGCTATAATTGAACACACTACAGTGAGGTGAGCAACATAAATAATAGTGATGTAGCTTGGTGGGGAATGAACCCAGTTGGCACTTGTCAGCATACAACCCAATCAGAGGGTAGACGTGCACAGGCATTCTCAGAGGGTGACTTACAAACTCCATTCATTTAGAGACTTATGATCATTATTCAGTGTATAACCTGCTTTAAGGTTTCTAGGGCTATGAGTATGATGAAGCCTTCAGAAAGCTCTCAACTAAGACTATAGGGCATTTATTCCAATATTTTTAATTCAAAGTAGAAATTGAGAAGTGCTACAGGAGAAGACAAAGGTGGCACAGGAATGAGGGGAGGAGAGACAGTCTCTGGTGTAGGGCAGAGGGAGGAGTTTATGAACGGTGCAATATCAAGTCAGACAAGCAAACAACAGAAGAAATGGAACAGAGGAGGAAGAGGGACTGACTAAGTCAAACTTTTAGACAAAGAGCAAGCAGTATGGTTTGATTGGAAGTTATGTAGTTCAAAAGGAAATTTCAAAAGATTGGCAAAACCGTATGGGCTGGGGTGGATAGACTGGTCATGGCTAAGGAGACAGGACTAAGAAAATTCAGTTCGGCAAGTAGAGGCACTAATTGCGCCCTAAAGGAGACCACTATGTCCAAGAGACACTTGAGAGTGTCTATTTACCAGTCTTCCCATATTTTAACAACCAGTGCCTTGCGGTTAATACATGAGTTGCTATCAGCCCTGCTGGTATTAATAAATGCACATACCTTAGTAACATGAAAAATGAATGAGTTTGCTCTAAGGCACTAATTAAACTATAGTAGAGAAGAATAATTTATTTTAAATATGCCTGGCGGGTATGGGATTTGCCACTTAGTAACAGTAATTTTGTAAGAATGTGTTGCCCTTCAACCATGAACTTAAGAGAGTAAAATATATGTGAGCCTCAGGACCTTTCTGTCTGGATGATGGGTTTCCGGGAGAACAGCCAGCCCCTCCAAATGGCACTTATCAGGGACCCTCCAGGAAAGCACCCCTCATTTTACTGTCTTTCAGGTGGTTTGAGGCAATGCACAAAGCGGCCCATCCTGTCCGCCAGGTAAGTGTTCTCGATATTCATCTTGGCCTTCATTCTGGTTTTCTACTCAGAGGGGCAAAGGATCAAGTCCACCCTGGGACTTACCCGATCTGCTCTACAAGCTGGGAAAGAGGATTTTAAGTCAACAGGGTTTCCTACTCAGAGTCCAAGGGGAGCTTGCATTCCCGCTGCTCTTTTTCTTTCCAGGAGTGTGTGTGACACTGCTCCCAGTGAGCTCAGCGGGGAGCCACAAACAGGGGTGGAACTTGTTTCACACGGAGCAATCCTGTAGCTCCCCGAGAGGTTAGACACGCTGCTGTTTTCTTTTCATTCCCCAAGTCCAAGGCATCGGGGATGGCTTGGGATAGTGCGGGGGGCCGAGCAGCTGATTAGAAAATGAGTGTCTTAGTTCATATCCTTGTTCTGGAGACATATTAGGCCACCTTTCTTTCACTGTCCTTGCTAGTTCGTGATTCCTAGCCTTGGAGCAGTATAATTTTTAACTTAGATTTGACCTATAAACTGACAGATAACTTCATAACACCAACAGGTGAGTCATCACTTTAGCCCTAAGGCATTTGATATTCCTTTCTCTGAGCTCATGCTATGACCTGGGGGAGGGGCGTGCCAGGGAGGGGAGTGAGGGAAATTGCTTTAATACCCAACTGCTTCATTTTTATACTCTGTATATGATTTCTAATGGGGTGATAGATACACGTTCATATTTAAACACATTCATTTCCTCACAAAATGGCATATAAGCAAAAGGCATTTTCAGTTAATCATCTTCTGTACATATTTTGGCTCTTGTCTATTTTGGAACATTTGCCTCATTTGAGCTTGAGTGCACTGCCCCGTGCCCTGTAACTGTCCTTCCAGAACAATCGCTGGCATCATCATATGACAAACAACAGGACTCGTGTTTCATATCACCTGGAACACAAAGCTCACTGCACTCACCCCCTCTTCAATGCGCGCTCCCAGTGAGCGACAGTATTTTAAGAGGGATCGTTTCTGCTAATGCCCTCAGTGTCCGCAGCGGAGTGAAAAAGGAACAACCGAACCCCCAGCGGGCTCCCACTTCACAGCAAGGAATAAAGCCAGCTCCACATTCTGAAATCTTTCGCAATGCCTTGTTTCAACTAAAGAGCAACAATGAAACTAAATAAAGAGAAACTGGCTGGGCGCCAGGCATGGTGTTCTGATAAAGAGATGAAGCCTGTGTCCTATGCCTCGGGTCAAGTTCCCGGAAGAACCTGCCTCTAAGGCCTATGGACTGAGGACTACCGGCCAGGGTAGAGGATCTTGGTTTATTGCGGGCCTGCCGTAAGAGCCCAAGGCCCGGTCTGGCCTGGGACATTTAACTTGTTCCATTGCACACATGGGAGTAAAGCATGAACCAACCGGGGGCTGCTATTAGTCACAGTGGACCTACCTGGAGCAGGGCAAACGGAACCAACCCTTACAGACAGCGCCATTCCAACTACTCTTTGAGGAGATGCCTGTTTCCACTTCCTTTCTATACATCACTGGTGTCCTTTTGATTTCCTCACAGTAGAATCCAAAGAGGAGGGCTGTCTTTGGACATGAAAAGGGAGAAATTCTCTATGGCCAAGATATGAATTCAGGTTTTCTAGCCAGTTGCTCAAGTATTCACATTGCTTTAGCAATAGAATCGCTGAGAATGTGGCTTCTCTGAGGTGGAATAGCCTGGGTGTGATGCCGCTGGCTCAGGGAATGTCTGGCGCAGGCTGACCACTCAGCCCACCCCTTTGTGCCGCACCTGCAGAACCATGTCTGGGAAGATGTTACTCTGCACAACAGTAGCCTCCCACCCCTGGCTATCAAGAACCCGGAGTGCCTGGGCCTTCTGCACCAACTGGACAGAAGCACGGACATGTGGGCCCAGCGCTACTGCATTCTGAAGGACGGCTGCTTGTACCTCTACGCCAGCATTCGCGCCACCCAGGCCTCAGGTATGGACTCAACTTTCACATGAAATAACAGTAATTACCATAATAATAGTAATGACATCTTAGCTTTATGGAGCCCTTACCAAGTCTTGTGCTATGTAATTCACCTATATTAACTCAATTATCCTCCAAAGAAGAGGTACTACTGTAATTTCCATTTTACAGATAAGAAAACTGGCTGGAAAGTCTACGTAACTTGACAAGATCATATGTAGCAAGCAGTGAAGCTGAGCTCTGAGCACAGCCAAACTCCAGAGCCTTCCCCCTGACCCCATGCTTTTACTGCCTGGAAATGAGAAAAATCAACTCCATTCTTTCAGACACTAAGGACATTCAGAGTCAATGTAGTGACAGGTAGTGACTCCACCCTTTTCTCACAGTATCCCTAATCTTAGATAAGTGAGTAAGAAAAAGAACTTTAGCTGTCAATTTTCCCTAAGCAAGTTCCTTAACTTCCTAAAACTTTCTTTCCTCATTTATAAAATGGAAACAGCTATCTATTTCACAGGACTTTTGTTAAGATCAAATGAGATAATTGCCAATGGAGTCACTTAAGCTCTACATAGAAAGCTCTCTATTTTACACATGTATATAGATATATATGCATTTATTATATTTATTAAATTGTATATATTAAAAACTATATATACAAAACAAGTATTTAAAAAATACAATTTAATAAAAAATAATTGTGCCTGATTTCTACAATAAAGATGACTTAACCTTCTTATAATTTTTGACAAAAGAGATCATTAGTGTTTTGTTTGCAGTTGGACTTTTTCCAAAATGAAAAATCCTTAAATAGTTAGTAGTAGTGAACATTCTGCAATCTCGGCCATTTAATTTCTTTTTGTAGCATTAATGCTTAGGTGTAATTAATCTAGAAAGACATGGCAACTGGGAAATGAGTATCTTGTGACAATTTTCTATCTTCTTGGAAGGGTACAAAAGAGGTACAAAGCAAGCCTGGCCCATTTGCCATCATTCAGGATGAACAATACAATAATTCTCTCCACTTAATCGCCCTTTGGTTTTGAGAGTGAAAACATGACCCAGAGTATCACTCAACTATTAACAGACAGAGGGCATCTCTATGCACTCACAGGACAGCCTGTTCCTATTCAAGTCCAAATCCACAGCTTCAAGCGCCCGACACCAGGGTGGGAATGAAGTAAACACAACAAACCTCCAACCTGGTCATTGCCTGGGACTTGGTTATAAAGCATCATTATAAAAGTCTGAACATTTTAATTCCCAAATCAATGAAGCTCATTTTCAAGAGACTGTTTCCATAGCTAGAGAGGAAATGTTTAGGATTGAATGCTCAGACTACTCCAAACTGAAATATCAACACAGTGCTGCCAAACCCCTAGGGCCAGAGACAGCTGCTGATTCCAAAAGTTTAAAATAGCCAGTGGCAGCCAGTAGATGGCTTCCCTTAATCTGAAAAGTCAGAGGAGGCCCTACTTAGAAAGTCCTAGTTGGAGAACTGGAAAACAGCTATTAATAAATGGCCATGGCCAAAGTTGCCAGTTCGATCCCCGGTCATGGCACATACAAGAATCAACCAAAGGCCCGGCCGGTGTTGCTAAGTGGTTGGGGTCGGGGTCCTATTCCTGGAAGGGGGCATATGCCCAGGTTGCTGGCTCAATCCCCAGTGGGAAGCATGCAGGTGCAGCTGATCAATGACTCTCTCTCATCATGGATGTTTCTATCTCTCTCTCCCTCTCCCTTCCTCTCTGAAATCAATTAAAAAAAAAAATCAAACCAATGAATGTATCAATAAGTGGAACAACAAATCGATGTTAAAGCACCCTGCACTCTATCCAAACATGGTCACATTCTATTTCCTTAGCACACCCTTGGATGTTTTCTGACCCATCTCTTTGCTTGTGCTAACTCCGTCCCCAGAAACAGTCTCTACCTAGTGATTCCCTAACACAAGTTGTCCAGATTCTACCTGTCCTGCAAGTGCTTTTTCCATTGTTAGCTGTCTCTGCTATAAAGCAATCCCAGATGGTCCTGGATAAACAAGCATCTCCCTTTTCCGAACTTGCACACTGACCTTTTTATGACACTTATCACCCTCCACTTTGTATTTTTATCTTTATTTAAGCAATCCTGTCTCTTCTAAGGGATTATATGCTCAGAGATATAATGTGTATTTAATGAATGAATGAATGACCCATATCATTTCAATTAGCCATTATTCCCATGAAATGTTAGAAGTCTGTCATTCCCTCATTTAATAGTAGAGAAAGATTAGAAAACTGAAAACCCAATTCAAAGGTAAAACCAAAACTCAGGCCTTCCTGCCATATCCCACTCTTTCAAGCTATCATGAATTACCTAATTTCTAATTCCTTTCTAGAAAATATATTATTTTGTGGTTTAAAAAATACTTAATCCAAAGCCATTCATTCTTCCTCAGCCTTAAATCTTGAATATTCCTATCTCCACAGGTCATCAATTTCTAGCCCAAATTATCTCAAATATGGATTGAAAGAACATTTTCCTTGCTGAAATTCCAACAGAAATTGTATATCTAGGCCATGTTCTAAAATAGAGGCCTGTGGTTTTTAGTTTTACATGACTCTGCTCTTCCTTGAATAAAAAAATACCACTTGCCTGAGCATATACCTTGTTCTAAACGGTGCATGTTACTGCCACCCCCTCCCCACTCCCACCCTGACAGCTGCTGGGGCCTCACAGAAGCTCTCCAAGGGTTAATCAGGTGGCTGTACTCTTCTAAAGTCTTCACCCTTCCCTAGATTTCAATTTTAAATTGAGGTTTACAATCTATTTTGGAGAGCCCTGCTCAACCTTTTTGTACATTTTAACTTCAGTCATGACCCGACGTTCACAGCCAGTGATCTGGCACAGTAAAACTAAGATAGGATTGATGCATAGCCACATCCCAAAATAAATATGCCCATCCCCAGTGCCCTGGTTAACCACATTTTTTTAGAGGACTGGACCACACTGCTCTGGTGTTTTGAAGTGGGAAAGTTAGCATGTATTATGGGATGCTCCCTATGTGTCCAGGACTTGGATAAGCACTTATGCTCATTGCCTAAGATTGATATTTGCAAAATATCCCCTGGTATTTCACCATAATAAGTGAGAAACTAAGGCTTAGAGAAGTTAACCATATCCGGTGGTCACCCAGCTAGTAAGTGACAGCGACAAAATGTGAACAAATGCTATCTGAATCCTGTGCCCCACCTCTTAGCCACAGTGCAACGTGTAGTTCTCCCTGACAGAAAGTAGTCTCTGAAAGTAGCTCTCAGTCTAGTGCGCTGTTTGTCTGGTCTCTGTACTCTGAACATCAGCAGTCCAGCTGTTTATCACAAGAGCCACGGGGCTTGTGAGGACAGCAGAGACACTTACTGAGAATGGCTGAACCCACGATGTGCCATAAACACCGCAGGCCCTCAACTACGCCACTTAACTTAATCATGTCACATGCACGGAATGCGAATCGTTATTATATTCATAGAGATTATACAGAGTCTTCGCCCTCATTTTCAGTTCTTCCAAGTGATGCCAAGTGAGTGGCCTTCATGCCGGTCGAATCTAAAATTCCTCCTTTACTTGTATTGTCCAAGCTCTGCTTGGCTCTTGCACATCCCACCCTAGCCTGGTTCCTTGTTCTCCAGCCCTGTGAAGGTCATAACCTTGAAACAGGCCATGATCACCATTTATACCAAATTGCAGGTTTTGATCCCATTACTGAGTCATGCAATCAATGTAGTAGGTTGGGACCAGTATTTAAAACTAGAATATAATAGAATTGAATAGAAAATATTATGACATTTTGTTCTAAATGTACGAAACATTTCATAAAATTTTGTTCTAAATGTACGAAACATGTAGAGGTCTGTTTTTATCACAGGCAAAACAGTTGGGAAAATACAAAAAGACTGCCTCTGAATATATGCTTATCCCGTCAGTTTTCGGTTCAGAATTGTAGGGTACTTACAAGGGCTCGGAAATTCTTGATTCTTAAGAGGAGCATGGTAAAACAGAAAAAAAATCACATCTGTGACCAGAAGAACCACATTCAGATTTTGGTCTCCCGCTTAGTGTGTATGCTTTGGCAAATCACCCCTTTCTATTGCCTTGTCTAGAAAATTAAGATACTTATAGTATGCCGAAACCGGTTTGGCTCAGTGGATAGAGCGTCGGCCTGCGGACTGAAAGGTCCCAGGTTCGATTCTGGTCGAGGGCATGTACCTGGGTTGCGGGCACATCCCCAGTGGGAGATGTGTGGGAGGCAGCTGATCGATGTTTCTAGCTCTCTATCTCTATCTCGCTCCTTTCCTCTCTGTAAAAAAATCAATAAAATATATATATTTAGAATATGCCAATCATATTAGTTGACTTCTGTGGCCACCACTTCATAGAGACATGGTCCACTGGCTATAGCATCCTTGTTGCTTTACTGTTCCATTTTTATTTATTTTATTTTTGATTTACTTTATTTCATTGATTTACCTTCTTTATGAACATTTGCTATTTCTCATTTCTGAAAGTTCCTGTAATATTTTGAGCATGTCTTATTTCTTGTAACAGTCATCTGAGATGCTAAGACAATACTGAGGACAAGAAAGGGAAGACAAGAAGAAATAACAGGGAAATGAGAAAGAGCAAGATATGAGAAGCCACACAGCCCTGATTTCCTATAAAAACCTTTACTGTTCCATTTTTATTTATTTTATTTTTTGATTTACTTTATTTCATTGATTTATCTTTATGAACATTTGCTATTTGTCAAGGAAAGTGCTGGTACTTTCATAATATGGATTACTGGTGTGCCTGTGCCTGTTAATGCTAAAAAGGTATTGTGTGAGGATTCTAGAAGCCCTTTAGTCAAGTGCCTCTTGACAGGCCTGAGCCCTTTGTCATTCACCATATACTTGATTTTTTCCCCTTTTATCTCTCTCCAGCCAAAGCTGGAAGGAACAAATTGTGACTTTTAACTATGCTTCCTGAATAAGTCACATCGAGGTCTGTGAGCAATGGAACACGTAATGCTTGCATAGTTTTTGTGAGAAATCTCTGTCCAAACTTTTGCCAGCTTGCTATTTATTGCTGCTATCCAGGAGCAGATAGAGACTAGCCCAATGAGGTCACCTCAATGAGGTAATTGGGTTATAATTGGATGTCTTCACTGTCAATCATTTCTACACTATAACTAGTTAGAAAAGGGGTCAGGTAACCTTCCTGTTTGTAGCAGACACATTTGGACAGCATCTTCTCTCCATTCTAAGAAAGGGTAGGGATAGGGGAGGGTATTCATATCTTCTCAGGTAGATGAGAAAAGGAAATCTCACAAGCAGGAAGATGTCAGAAACAAGTGCAGCAACATATAAATGCTGTGTACTATAGTTTGGAGCAGAAAATTAAGACAGCAAAATTACCCTCTGATATGTCTTTAGGTAACCTAGAGTCCTGAAACATCTACCACATTGCTTATTCCACTTCTAGCATATACCCCCAAAACACATATCTAAGCAAAATATGTACATGAACATTCATAACAACATTATTCATAACAAAACAATGAAGAAAATCCAATTATCCATCAACTAATGAGTATATGAATAAATAAAATGTGATATATCCAAACAATAAAAAGAAATGAAGTACTGACACATGATATAACATGGATGAATCCTGAAAACATCATGCTAAATGAAAGAAGCCAGTCACAAAAGACCACATATTGTATAATTCCATTCATATTAAGTGTCCCAGGAAAAGCAAATCTATAGAGACAGAAAATAGGTTTGGATTGTCTAGGGTTAGGTTGGGGCAGCAGATGGGACGTGACTACAAATGGTTATGGAGTTTCTTTTTGAGGGAATGGAAATGTTATAAAATTAGATTATGAAGATGGTTGTACAACTCCATAAATACACTAAAAATCATTCATTATACACTAAAAATGGGTGAATTTTATGATGTGTAAATTAAAGTTGACATATAATGCAAAGGAAGAGGTCACTCTATGATTTTAGTAAAAACCATTGTACTGGGTCTACTTAACAAAAAAAAATCTAACCCTTTCTAAAATGAATATTTTCCTAGTAGTTCTAAAATTGACTTTTTTTAAATGAAAAAATTAAAAAAACTTTAATATTATATCTAAATCCCCTTATAAAATAAACAAGTTTTCCCTTAATTTTTAAAGTCCAAAAGCCACTCATTCAGTTTAAAAATGAAAATATATGACTTCCTGACCGTGTATATTGGTGCCAGGTTAACCGAAAGGAAAACAAAAGTCACCCATATTCAAAGGGACCAAATTTTCTCTTGACAGTTCCTTACTAATGCATGGGCATGAAATAGTTACCGTGTGAGCAGCAAAAATCCAAGCTGTATTTTTGTCAGTACAGTGCACTAAAGTGGCTCCTAGAGGGAGGTGGGGCATGAGACCAAGAGTTAGCAAGAGCAAGAGAGAGGTTTAAACATCTCTCATCGCTGCTAATGATGTTGCCCGAAGTCTCTGCATGAGATGCAGGTTACCTCAGAGCAGTGGTTCTCAACCTTCCTAATGCCGCGACCCTTTAATACAGTTCCTCATGTTGTGGTGACCCCCAACCATAAAATTATTTTCGTTGCTACTTCATATTGCTACTGTTATGAATCGTAATGTAAATATCTGATATGCAGGATGTATTTTCATTGTTACAAATTGAACATAATTAAAGCATGGTGATGACTCACAAAAACAATATGTAATTATATATGCATTTTCCCATGGTCTTAGGCGACCCCTGTGAAAGGGTCGTTCGACCCCCAAAGGGGTCGTGACCCACAGGTTGAGAACCGCTGCCTCAGAGCATCAAGACATCATAAAAAAAAAACAAAAAACACTCAAGCGCTTGATTTTTCAGCACCTTCTACACTGATATCCTCTCCCAAACCCCCACGTAATGGAAAGAAATTTCATGCCAAGCAATATGTAACCACTAACGTAGATTCAAAGGACCATGGGGAGGAAATTATCTTTTAAAACCAGTCATTTACTCTCATTTTAATTCGAGTTGGCTCCCTCACTTCACCCTGTGGGTTCATATTTGAAATGTGCTTTGCATTAAATATGCACAAAAAGGTAAGAATCTGTGTTGGTTACAGAAACTGCTGGCAGTCTACATTATTCTTCAGAAAGGATGCCTTGCCTGGCTGGCATGGCTCAGTGGCTGAGCATTGACATATGAACCAGGAGGTCACGTTCAAGGTTGTGGGTTCGATCCCCAGTAGGGGGCATGCAGAAGGCAGTCAGGCAATGATTCTCTCTCATCATTGATCTTTCTGTCTCTCTCTCTCCCTCTCCCTTCCTCTCTGAAAGCAATAAAAAATATTTTTTTAAAGAAAGATGCCTGAATAGTTCTGCCCAGCCAATATTATTAAATTTTCCTCTAATGTGATATTGCAGGTGTCATTCTTTGATACCAAAAAATTTATTTCAAAATGTGTTCCCCAGGTAAAGAAGCTAACTTAGTAGGCCCACAGTAAACCAAAGCTCAATACCAAACATACATTAAGAAGATTGCAAAAATGGAAACCAGAAAACCCAAACTTTATTACCAATCTTGCCATTAATCATTAATGGCAAGACTGAAATAGAACAGCTGGACTAGAGTTTCCTTCAGATGCAAGTTCTTTTCTTGATACCTTTTCAGTCTCATTTTCTCTATTTTAACTCTTTCTCTATTCTCCTCACTTGTTTTTTCTTTTCTTTCACCTTCTATAGGTGGCCTATATCTACAAGGATATAGGGTCAATGAGCAGACCCTTAGCTTCAAGCAATCAATAATTGAACTCAAACCTCCATCTGAAGAATTCAAGACTTTCTATTTCTGTGCGGAAAATAAAACAGAAAACCAACGGTAAGTCAAGATCTGCACATTTCTTCTTCTTTATTAGTCCTGTCAAGAGCGTTCATAGCAAACCCTTATTCTTATTTTCCAACTTCAACTCTGATATTCAATCAAATCACTCCCTTTCTTTGCATAGTCTCTCCATGGTTACTATTACCCAGGATTCTTTTTCTTTCAATGTATAGAAGGTGGCTCTTCTCAAAGTATTATTTTCAAATAAAAAAGCAGTTTACAATTTTTCCCAAGGCAGTGACTGACTCAGGCTTCAACATAAAAAAATATAATACCATAATCTGTGAGGTTGTAATTTACTAACTCAGATTTGCTGTTTCACCTCCTTTCACGTAACTCCTATTAATATGTCCATCTGAATTTGGCCATTTTTTTTTATTTTGTCATAAGTCATTGAAGGACATGGGACTTATCCATCTAATTCAATATGTTCATTGTACAACTTGGTATATACAAATGGGCACTTGGTTCATAATGATTCTGGAGAAAAAAAGCACTAAAGTTAACAAAGACAAGGCCATGAAGCAGAGGAAGTGTGCTCTGGTGTCTAGAACATCCTCCTGCATATCTCAAGTCTCCCTGTCCTAACTCCAATCCCCAAGACAGCTGTGCCCTCCAACCACTTGGTGATCATTCCTCACCTCATACGGACACTTTCTCTCAACTAATAAAAAGTTTCTAATAAAAAATTCACAGTTATTTATTAAAACAGATGATGTAATAAAATTTCCAGAGACATTTGGGAGAACTAGATACACTGGTTTAACCCAAAGGAATAAAATTCTGAAAGTAGAATTTCAGGATCTCCAGCAAGTGACCATTTGAGGAAAGGAAAAAGGATCTCCCTACACCTTCCCCCATATGTAAATCTTGTCTGTTTCACTCATTCCTAAGGGCAGACTAGAGCAAGAGGAAAATGAATATAGAATTGCTAAATATTTTGCCAAGATTTTCTTCCTTGGGATGGTACTATACAATTTGGGTGGCAGATGAAGATGTTTCCCTTGAAGGTGAAGCTCCAATTGGCATATACAGGAAACAGAGTTAACTCCTATTCGATACAATGGACTGGCTTCTCTGAGAAGAGGTTGAATAGTTGGATCTCACCACCAAATCCATGAGTGGATATTATCAAAAGGAAACAATATATAATCATCACAGAAATATTTAAAAGCATAAGAGCAAGAGCTTCACAAAGTGGTTCATGGAGCTCTGGTTTCACAAGATACCCCACTCAGAAAAAATAAGCGTAAGAAATGATACAAAATATTACCCTTTTAGGTAATCACAGAGCACACTAACTTATTAATGTTGCTAAAACACCCTACCCTGATAGAAAGAATCCTGGTTAGTGCTCCATAGTTCCCATTACCCAAGCTTATCTGACCCAAACCATTTTTTTAATAATCCCTATGAACCACCCTTAGAAAAAATGTTATATATGCACATTAAAAAAAAATCATCCAAGAAAATGAAAGGAAGGGAGAGGAGAAGAAAGGAAAGTTAACTGCTGTGGTTTCCAAAATTTAACAAAGAAATATTTGCTCTAATGGCAATATTTGATTGCTATATGTGTGGTCAACAAAACTTTATCTTTAAATAGAAACAGAAATATTTTTTAAAGTCTTATAGTTTCATTATTCACCATTTACAAATATTGTATCCTCTTCTGATTCTATTATTTATATGAACACAGTTTTATTTCAGAGCTACAATTGCATATTTCTCATTTGGTGTTTTACTTTTTTGTTCAATCCAAAACCTAAGGAGCATTGTTCACTTTATTAATTTCAAGCTAAATAACCAAGAGAAACAATTAAAAAATAAATGAAATGATTGTGTAACATTTCACCTTCCTTGAATGGGGTGGTTTTTTAATGACTTGTCATGCACTGTTATTTCTGCAGCTGGATTACAGCTCTGAAAATGTCTATCAAGAAATGGCTTCCTTTGCATCAGGCTATTCAAGACTTCATCAATCGACCCCTAGAGGAGACCAGAATGTAAAAAGAATCCTAATCTTAAGAGAAAACATCCACAAAATCATCACCAGCTAGTTGTGGGGATAAACAAAAACATTTCTCATTATATAGTTTTTCAAATGAATGTTTCTCCAATATAGTAAAACTTTGTGATAAGATTATAGTTTTGTTTTTTTAATTAAAGCACCAAAATCGATGTGATATTCAAATAATCCAACTTCCGTCAACATCATTAATCCCCCTTCATGTTTTTCCCCCTAAGGCTGTACATGCTGGCATCAAAATATACTATGCCCTATCCACCCTCCCCCCCCCGACCCCCGTCTTTTGAAAACGTAAATACAATAAAGTTGATTTATTTTATTTTCTGTTTTTTATTCTTTTCTAAATGTTCCACTCTGTGCTTTAGCTATAGGCTTCTTAGAATGCCTACAGGCCCTGATGTGGGAAGCTGCTATTTGGGAAAATTAAAATCATGGAAATGAAGTACCTTAAATGATGAATAAATAAGTCAGCTAAACAAGGTCCTCTCTGTTAGGTCATCTTATAGTCAACTGACTCAAGTGACTCCTAGGACTTCCCACATGAAAAAAAAAAAGTAATATTATTGTTATAAAAATTAAACAAGGAAAGAATTAGACTAAATTTAGGGGAGAAAAATGCAAAGGCATAGGTCTTATTATTACCTGAATATTTATCATACTATAGGGGGCAAACACAAAATAATTAAAAATGTCTTGCTCTTGATGCTGACAGTAAAATTCAGAGAAATTGGAAAGTAAATTCTAACCATTGGGCTAATTTCTCAGGGGAACAATTTCTAAAAGTGTATCCAAGATGTCAGGATGCATTTGGAAGTCCCGTGCCTTCACTAATGGAACACGAAACAAAGAATCCAGGGAGTTCAACTACCAGATGCAAGTGCTCTGCAGCAGCTCAAAAATGAAAAAAAAAATAAAAATAAAAAATTGAAATCATGTCTTTTCATAAAATCATAGTATTTCAGAACTCATACGGGCCTTACAATGCAACCCCTTTTCTTCCTGGCTGAGGCTCAGGGAGGTAGTAGTCTGTTGAAGATCACCTTGGTTGTTACTGGCAGAACTAAAACTGAACCCTGGTCTTCACCGCTCTATCCACTGCTGCTTCCATTCATCCTAGGGCTCCTCACTGTGCTCACGAACGTGGTGTATTTTCACAAAAGCAATGCGACCACTCTCTCCCCAAAGTTACCAAAGACTTCTAGTCGTTGGCTGAGAACTGAAACATGTCAATTCCAGCAATGTTTATATTTCCGCAATCTCATGGAAGACTGCATCATCTTTCAAATTGTATCCTTTTCCAGCGAATCTTAAATGTGAAAAATATATCAAAATTTGAGTCATTTTCCTATACTCTTCACCTCCACCGCACGCCCCTCCCGCCCAGTGAACTCTTCAAACAGATGGCTCCAGTTTGCAGCTGCCTTTCACAGCAACTCAGATAAAGGCGGCTTGTGAGTAAGCATACGCTGCTTAGTTGCCATATTAAGAGAAGCGGCCCACAGGAACTCATGCCCAAAACAACACTGTAATACTCTGGCCAACTTAATACCAAAATCAAAAATATCCAATTAACAATAGCAGCTAGCCTTCTGTTCTGAGAATGGCCCCTTTGTTCCCCGGGTATTGACCATGATAATAATGAGGCCTTTCAGCAGGGCCGTCATCAGTAATGCTCATGTCAGAAACCTGGAGCTCACACATCCGCTCCCAGCAGGGTGCTCTGCGGTTCTGGAGCCCCGCCATGGAACGCAGAAACTGCACAGCCAGCAGTGCCCACAGCCAAGGGCAACACTGACCGGAGCTTCCCCCCAAGGAGAGAAACAAGAGCAACTCCCTCAGGAAAGTGTGAATACGATTTTACCTGAATTAAGCAAGCACTCATATACCTCGCTTGCCAGTGAAGGGTATCAACATTCAAAGTTCCAAGTCACAGCCCCAAAACTACTGTTGTTAGTCCTGGAAGGTTCTAGACATCTAAACAATCCCGGACATCATACCAAAAGAATAAAAATAAATATAAATGTGTTGTGTGTTTTTATGTGGAGAGGATTCTAAGCTTTTATATGGTTTGCAAGGGAGATGTGACCCAGAAAGAACTTATTAGTCTTAAGATTAAGAACATTTCCCTGGATCCATAGGTTTCCATCTCCAATAGACCCAATGCGGAGGGAAAAGGGTGCAGGGCCAGCCTTCTACATATGCACCATCTGGCTGCACATTTTAACGTTAGCTCACCTTTTGGCAAATCAAGAAGAGCTCCTTATGAGCCCGATAGTCACGGAGTCAAAAAATGTTCATTGGGCACCTACTGTGGGCCACTGCGGGCTGCCACCCGGCCCACCTTTAAGGAGAGGCAGAAAGAATGGTTCAAAGCATGCACTCTGCAGCCCGAGGGCCCGAGTTCAAATTCTAGCTTTATCACTTCTGTCCATCACCTTGGTTTAACTCTCCCTGCTTTAGTTTCCTCATCTACAAATGGATATGATTATAGCACCTGTCATAGATTTATGAGGATTAAATGACTGGTCCATGAAAAGCACTGAACAGTGAGCAGCCCCAGTGAACTCTCAATCTCATTAGCAAGGATTGCCAGCTGGTTCTATGCAGACCTCCTATCCCTGTGGACAGCTCCAGAAGGAATGCATCCTGCCTCCTTCGCCTCACTACCTGCAGAGGGGAGGATGGGGCGTCCCATCAGGGAGGAGCATTGTCTTCAGTGGACTTAGGAGAAGGCCAAGTGCTAGTATAGTTTCAGGCTTTCTGAGTCATATGCAGCACAGTGTTGCCTATTTAGAACCCCAAAGGCTGGCCTACTGTTGTCAAAATTCTGCTAGCCCCCAAGTTGATAAACTTGGAAGAGTTTCCATCAGCATTCCTAGAAGCCCTAAACTAAGCCCCCATTGTTCTCAGGAGGTCCCCGCAGGCCTACGTTAGTGCTGGTGTAACTCCAGTTCTTGTTCTGCCTCATCTGCGGTCTTAATGTGCACACAAGGAGGAAAACCCGCGGACTGTTCTGTACTTCGGAATTACATTTAGGGATGATAAAGTAATAAACATCAAAGACACAGTAATTTGTTCCCACAGAAAAGGAACACTAGAAGCAATTGGTCTATTTCCTTACTTGCCTCACCCACTCAGCCTGAGAAAATGATAGCAATGATCCTTTGCCTTCAAATCACTTCTCAAGCTTTTTCCTGGTTTCGGGACAGTCTCCCCCACCCTCGAAATGAGAATAAATATTTTCCCCATAGAGGTTTGGCTAACACAGAAGAATTGTCTTTTCCATTCTAGACCACCCAACAACCATGTAACACTCATCTCTAAGACATGTTCATAGCAGGATGTAAAAGCTTATGAAATGATAAAACATACTTTTTAAAAAGTAACCACTCTTTCTTACAATACTTTATATCTTAGGTATGTATAATATTTATACATGCATTATTTGGTTAAAAGAATCCCTTCATATTTTTTTCAAATCTGTCTTTTTAGAATGAAACCATTCTTAAGCAAAGAATTTTCACTGTAGTGACTCTTTATAGGCTATGAATACCCAGGATGCATAAACAAGGTTCGGAATATCCTAGTGGATTATTTCATCCTTTTTTGAAGCAGACTGGGAAGAAACTCATGCCTGTAATTACCGGTTGATGATTTCACGGGGGTAGGAATAGGAATATGTCTGTCTTACTGTTTTCCCTGAACCTAGCACAATAAGTAGCCTGCATTGAGCATTTGATATTCATATGGTAAAAGCATAAATAAATGAATTTCAGGTATTTATTTAATCACAAATGAAAACTAAATTTACTAATTTTGTGCTAGGAATTTAAGGACTGCAAATTACAGAAAGATTTTAGAGATAAGTTAAGCATAAAGGTATTATAATTATTAAGAAACTAGCCCTGACTGGTTTGGTTCAGTGGATGGAGCATCAGCCTGCAGACTCAAGGGTCCCAGGTTCGATTCCGGTCAAGGGCATGTACCTTGGTTGCGGACACATCCCCAATAGGGTGTGTGCAGGAGGCAGCTGATCGATGTTTCTCTCTCATCGATGTTTCTCTCTATCCCTCTCCCTTCCTCTCTGTAGGAAAAATCAATAAAATATTTAAAAAAGGAGAGAAAGAAACTAGTAGCCCTGCGCACAAATCCGTGGGCCAGTAGCTCACCAGTAGTTCGCTGCCACCCTCTAGTAGCTCTCCACCTGCTGCTCCGCCCTCCTGTAGTTCCCCCAGCCCCCCGCCCCCCTCATAGCTTGCTATCTGTCCCCTCCTGTAGCTCTCTACCACCAGCTTGTAGCTCGCTGCCCCACCCTCCTGCTGATCCGTGATCCGGTTGTTATGCGGTCGGTCATTACGCTTCATGGTGTAATGACCATTTGCATATTACATCTTTATTATATAGGATAGTGGCACATGATGGTACCTAAAGGCAAGAATGCAGCTCAGAGGCAGCCTCAACAGGGATTGGACAATAAGAAACCCAAGGTACCTTCTCTCTCTGCTCTACTGCTTGCCGTCCACCTACCTCATTCTTCTTCCTGCACGTTGACTTTGTTTGATATGGAGAATGAATGCAGGAATTGGAAGTCAAAACCCCAGTGACAGTCATAGCCTCTAATCAGCATCACCCATGAAGATTGCCTAACCCGCATATTCATCACGTCTATGACCAGAGGAGCAGGTAGCCTAGCTTTTGTAGACTCATATCTAGAGTCAGCATGTTAGAGTCTGCATCTCACCAGCAACAGCAAGCGCTTACCCGGCAACACGTAAGGGAGAACCAAACTCAAAACAGGAGCTTTCCCTTTACCAACGAGGAGCTAGAGGAGCCTTCCTAGTGCCAAGGCGCTTGCTCCCACATAGAGGTAAATGCCATCCCTCCATGCTTTCCAGATGCTGGAAAGCTGTCGCACCCTGGATGATGGTACTCAGAGAACTAGGCAGCTGCTATTCCAGTCGAGCTTCTATCACTTGCCATCAAAGTGTCTGGAGCGATTAAGGCAGCCACATGATTTAGCTTCCAAATCAGGGCAGTTTGAGAAAAGACACTATTTTTTTTTAATGTTTTATTAATCCTCACCTGACAATATTTTTTCCATTGATTTTTAGAGAGAGTGGAAGGGAGGGGGAGAGACACAGAGAGAGAAACATTGATGTGAGAGAGACACATCTATTGGTTGCCTCCCGCGTGACACCAACTGGGGCCGGGGATTGAGCCTGCCTGAGGTATGTGCTCTTGACTGGAATCAAACCTGAGACCCTTCAGTCCTTGGGCTGATGCTCTATCCACTGAGCCAAACCCACCCACTAGGGTGAG